TTGATTCCGTTAAACTCCTTACAAAAGGAGATACAAGGAAATGATTGATTTATTTTCAAATAAAGATTTATATGGTGAGAAAACACCAGCCATGTTCACTATTAGAAATATTTGTAAAAATCTAATCACAAAGACTTAGGGAATCGCTGTCTCATGATCTCAGGATTGAGTTTTGAAAGCAAGCCTTACTAATCTAAACAACAACGCTCTTGAGTTTCATAAATTTAAGCTAGATAATGAGGACGTTCAGAGCAAAAACTGTCTGACCAACTTCCTGGAATGGATCTTAACCAATGACAAAATATGTTTCATAATCAAATAATGGCAAACCAGGACTGAAGCTTTGTTGGATGGCTATTTGCTTCCCTTGTTTTGTGTGGGATCTACCAAGAAATACAGCTGTTAGATCCAGAAGGCCTTTTATGCCCAACACCATCAGGTCTGCCAAATCTGGAAGATGGAAGACGTACAAATGACTTGAAAGAGGTTTGCAAGAAGGTGCCACTAGGCTTATTCTGGACAACACTGGGAAAACATAGAAAAGTTTTACCAGTCTGTTTATCCTTTACACAATGAGTTTATTAGAAAAGTCAAAATTCTAATGCCGTCCAAATTTGAATCGGGAAAATGAACGAACCACATGGTGAAGACAACAGAACGTCTATTAAAATAATTCATTATATTAGAAAAATTTAAGAAGGAAAATTATATTAATAGATGTTGAAAATGAATTAATAAAATTAAATTTCCTCGTCTAATTAATCAAATATCCACAGTCTTATTGTTTAAGGGATGAAAATATTTTCTCTTCTACTTACAAGGGAAAGACAATGTCCTGGACAGCTTCAAAGTGACAAGTAGCAATGAGCGTCTCTTTGAAATCTGTGAAGTTGACACGGTAAATGTGTGATTGTTCTGTGCCTACAAAAAACTGGTGTCCTTCACCTCGGAGTGCGATGGAAGTGATGCCACCTTGCAACTGAATTTTCCTTTAAAAAGAAGCAAAAGCAAAGTAGATCCGTTCAACCGACAAGCATTTATTAACCGTTTACATAATTGTTGTGCGCCATCAAGTTGATTCCAACTCATAGGGACCCCATAGGGATTCCTAGGGAGGAGCCCTCGTGGTGCAATGGGTGAGAGCTGGGCTGCTAACCAAAAGGGCGGTCCGAACCACCAGCTGCTCTGCAGGAGAATGATGAGGCAGCCTGCTTCCATAAGGATTTATGGCCTTGGATACCCTATGAGGCAGTTCTGCTATGAGCTATAAGGTTGAAGTTAAGTCTGAATCAGCTCAGTGGCAATGAGTTTGGTTTGTGGGATCCTTACGGGCACAGACTGCCGGGACTTTTCTCCTTCAGGGAGGCTGATGGCTTCGAACCACCCACTTTTCAGTTAGCAGTCAAGGGCTTAACCATTGCACCACCAGAGCTCCTTATCTAAATCATTGTTGTATCACATCATGCATATGTCCTGGGACACAACCTCAAGGAGATTACAGAATTGTAAAGATAAGAATATTGTGTACCCTCTAGTCAGCAAAGATTAAATAGTAAGGGATCATGAGAAGACAAGGTAAAACCCAGAGCTAAG